GGGTGGGGGGGGGTGGTGGTGGGGTGGGTTTCACCTGCTGGAGGAAACGGACCTGTGGCCCGCTTGGCTGTGAAGAGCACCCATCCTCCCCAGAACCTCTGGGCCGGCGAGACCCTCCCCCTGGGGGGGAGTCATACCCAGGCCTCGGTCTCCACCTCTCCAACTGCAACCTAGAGCTCAGAGTATCCAGACTAGGAGACCCGCCAGGCAGAGACCAGAACCCATACCGGTGCGCCCCTCTACCACGCCCCCGTCAGGACCTCGGTCGGCCTAGGCCGCTGCCTCAGCTCCCGCAGGTGTTTCGGTTTCTCAGATCCGCACCTGCCCAAGAGGCGCCCGTGTTGAGTCCGAAGTCCCTCCACTCCTCTGCTTGGCGGGGGCGGGGTGGCGGTCAGGTGGGGCAGCTGGTGCCTGTTCCGGAACCTGGGGCTAGCTGGGCAGCCGGTGAACACCCCTGGGTGGGGAGGGGCCGCGGAGTGAGGGGACCCTGCCCGGACCCTCCCACTTCAAGTCACCGTGGAGGAATGCGGGGCGAGGACGCGAGGGTGGGTCACAGAGCGACCTGTGCCTGCTCCAACTGCCTTTGTGGGGAGTTTGCAAGGGAAATGTGGAACTTCGGAGCTCCAGTTTCGGTTCTCCAAACGCGACTTTATTGCCTTTTATTGCCGAGAGTAGGCACAAGCCAGGCACACTGAGGTTAGCTGTCCCCAGCCACTCCTCATCCAGTCCTTGGCCTTTGGGTCCTGCTCAGCCCCCTGAGGATGATTCCACACACTGCTTTCTGTCCAGTGTCTGCTGGGTCCTGCTGTCCTCTGGGAATTTGCTCCTTGGACCCCATCAGTGGCCTTGACCTTGGAAAGGCTGGGGGTTTCTATATGCTGAGCAGGTTGGCAGCTCTGTCTGGGAAGGGTGGACAGGCCTTAGTCCAGTGCCCATCTGCTTCACCTGGGCTCAAGAGAAGGTTCCTTGTGCACCAAGGAGTACCTAACCCCCTCCTCTCCCTGAAGCCCATCCCAACACCTACCTTCCGAGGCAGAGGTCTGCTGGAGGCACTGGGGATGGAGGCCCAGAGACTTAAGGTGATGATATTCTTCACCCTCCTGCTCTTCTGAGCTCTGGCCCAGCACTGGAACCTCTCATGGATCTTATGGCTGGTCCTCCCCTTTGCTACCCAGAGATCCCATGTGGAGTGGGGGTCAGGGCTAGGGTGCATGCCCTTCACCCACCCTTGGGCTTACTTTAGCCCCCACCCTTTCCCTGAGGGCTGGGAAACCCCCCCCACACACACTGCCCCTCACCTCGGTCTGGGTCATTCTTGACTAGAAATTCATCCAGAGCCACCCAGCCTCCTCCAACACGAACCATCAGGGTACCCCGAGCCACCTGCATAGACTCAGGAGGGTCGAGTCAGACCTCCTGTGGGCTATGGGAACAGGTCCCAGGCCTTGTCCCTAACACCTATCCCCAGGTCCAAACTCACACCTGTTCACCAAGGCTCCCTGGACCATGGACCCATCTCTGGCAACCTGTTCCTGTGTCCCCTGCTCTGGCCATGCAATGTGGCAGTGGCTGCTGGCTGTTAGGGAGCTCTGACCCCAGCATGGTGATGCACTGTGATGTGGTCTCATGTCCCCCATAGGTAGCCAGGCAGCCCAGTCCATCCTCTCCTTGCTCACCAGATGCCAACACATTGTCTGTGAGATCCTGCTGGGAAGAATGGCAGTGTTAGCTGTGGCTTAAGGTGCAAGTGGACCCTAGGCCTCCTTCTTTCTTTGGCCAAGCCAATGCAGATAGCATACTTGCCAGGCCACAAAATCTAGATGTATGCCAGCCCCTTGTTGTGAGGAAGTGTAAGCTGGCCAGGCCAAGACTCTGGTGTGCCCAGTGTGGGCAGTGTGCTATCTACTCACCTGCTCCAGGTGATCTTTGTCTCGCCAATTCCTCTCTCTGGTCTCTGGATTCCTGTGGTTCCAGCTCCCCTTGGTGGCCTCTGCCCATGGCAGCCTCCAGCTCAGCTCTTCTAGGGACACCCCTGGGAGGCCAGCCTGGTCAGGGTCCCTCTGAGCTAGCACCTGCACTGGGGCTGGAGTCCAGGGCTTCAGCCTATCATCCCCCAGGACTGCAGGAAGCACCTTCATCCTCCAGCCCTGGGCATGTGCCACCTATGCAGTGAGGAGGGTTGTGAGGGAATGGAGAGAGGTGAAAGTATCAGAATGTGAGGGAGGTAGACCCCTGTACTCAACCCTGCCCACTGCTTTACACATTGCTGCCTGAAGCCAGTGCCCCTGCCTGTGCTGTCCAGCATCCCCCTGTGGGTCACAGGGACTCTCATGTCACAGGACATGGGCTGAGGGGGGCCAGGGTACCTGAGAGCAGTGCATAATGCTGACCCTGGGCTGCTCCATAAAGTAACTGTGCAGGTGGGAGTTTCTGGTCATAGGCCCCACCTTGGTCCTGAGGGGCTCAGCCTGGTTCAGTCCATGTGGACATGTGAGAAGCTCCTCTAAGAGGTGACCTATGATCAGCAGCGTCCCTTCCAGGTTGAGAGACCTGGAGAGGAGATGTGGCAGATGTGGGCTGAATGGAGGACCGGGGGAGTAGATGGGGACCACCGAGCTGCAAGCTGACCTCTCCCTGGGAGGGCAGAACATGGCAGCCTGGCTGCCTGGCAGGTTCATCAGCAGACTCAAGTGGCAGGTGCCCTCGAAGTTGATCCCTCCTCGCCATGCTGGGCCCCTCCATGGCCAAGATACCGCTAGGGTCTGCTGTCCCCATGAGAATTCCTGCCGGCAGAGTAGCCTGGTGACCTGCCTGCTCTCCTCCAGGTGACATCACACTGGAGTAGGGCCACCAATGTCATCGGTGCCCTTGAAAAGGGGGACATTTGGGCACAGACATGCCCAGGAAGAAGATGCTATGGACAAGCTGGGGAGAGGAAGGCTCAAACCCTGCTTTCTGGGCCCTCAGTAGAAGCCATCCACCTGTACTTGAGCACAGGGAGTCTGTGTTCCTATAGGTTGAGCCTCCTGGTCTGTGGCAGCTGGTTACTGCAGCCCAGGAAACTAATTCAGTCCAAAATGTGAAAAACACCACTGGGTGAAGAGGATCTGATACTCATGCAGGCCCCAGACAAGCCCCTCTGCTTCCACCCTGAAGTGACCGAGTACCCTCTGGCCTCAAGGTTGCATTAAATACTGGAGAGGGGCCCTGTCTGTACCTGTCTGTTTTGCTCCAAATATGTATTTTATTTCCAACTGCTGCACAAATGGGGCTTATTCTTGGTAGGACTGTGATCTTAATTGGCAACTCTTAATTGCCTAGAAAAGCTGGACAGAGTGCCCATATTCCTCAGCTCTCTCTGTTTCCCAGCCTACCCCTGAGATGCTGCACAGTGCAGCCCTTGTTGGGCACCTCCATCCCTGATCCCCTGCTGGGAGAGCAGAGTGGCCATATCTTGGGGGGCCAGAGGCTATTAGAATCACAGGTCAACACATGAAGTTGCTATCAGATCCCTCCAGCTGACCCAATGGTCCCACTTTTCTCCCCTCCCCTGCCATACCCTTTGGCTCACCAGCAGGCAGCAGCTTGACCTCAGATCCCCGCTAGTTGTTCAACCTCCCTCGGGTCACCCCTTTCCTCCCAAGGAACTCTGGGGTGACTCTCCATCCCACCCAGCCTTCCAAAGCACCTATAAGGCTGGGACCCAGCCACCCTCTGACTTCAGTTCCTTTTCAATGGCTGCCTGCTCTGCGAGGCCACATGGAATCCATTGGGCTGGCTCCCATGTGGCCTTCTGCCCAGCATCCCACTCCTAGTTTTTGACTAGCACCCTCTCAGGGCTTCTAGCTCTGCCTGCAGCATAGCTGGGGACAGTCATGACAATCTAGAAACCCAGCCTTGGGCACAGCCTCAACCTCACCTACCAGGCCTGGCTGTACCATTGAAGGCCCCAGGGTACTTGGTGGGAGGCACTGCTCCTGGATGGGTACCATGGATGTTGCTTCCTGGCCAGGGACCTCTACTTGTGATGCCAGCTGCTCAAGCCACTCTGCTAGCTGGGCCAGTTGGACACTCAGCTGGGGGAAGAGACAAGCATTGTTCCAGGCATCCCAGCTGGGGACAGAGAGCCCCTGAGGATGGACTCTGAGACATCCCCGCTCCCCAGGGTGGAGGACTGCAACCCCCAAAGTGGGAAGGGGATGGTAGGGCCCTCTTCTGGGGATTGGGGGCAAGGGGATACATACTTCCTCCTGGTCTTTGAGCCCTGGACCCTCTGAGGTTACCTCCTCCAGATCAAGCTGAGCCTCTAGGCCTGTTGGGGGTAAAAGCTCACAGGACCCTATCTTCTGGGCACATAGTAGCATCTGCCAAACGCGGGCAGCACCAGACACAGTCAGCTTCACACACTCCCGGAGTCCCTCCAGCTGTTGGTTTACAAGCCGAGCTTCATCCTCTGTAAAACACACCAGGAGACAAGCCAGGGCCAAGACATGGACATTGGAGGGGCCATTGGGGACAGGGGCAAGGACAAAGGCATGTGAGGAACTTGGACTGGGGGTCAGGAAGTATGAGGGGATGAAGATATTGAAGGCACTGTGGCAGGCTTGGCTCAGCTGAGTGACCTAGCTGATATCCACTCACCTGCAAGCAGCTCTGCCAGTCTCTGACCAGTCTCTAGTGCCCTCCCCAGGTCCTTGGCACATGCTGTAGCTTCCTCGCACACGTGCTATGAACATGTGCCACTGAGCCCTGTGCCATCCCACCAGCCACCACCCTGGGCTTAGGTCATACCTGCAAGCATTGCATGACCCTCTCCTGGCCCTTGGGTCCCAGTTGGCCCTCTTCCAGCTCAACCAGGAGCTGCTCACCGGGGCCCAGCCGTGCCAGTAGGGTCTCACGGGCTGCATCAAAGCTTTGTGCTGCTGGGACAACCTGCTGCAGCAGCCTCAACCTAGGGGCCAAGATGGCGCAGTTGGCATCGCTCTCCCTGTCCTGGAACCCTCCCACCCTCACCCTAGGGCCTCACCTGGTCTCTGCCCACTGCACCAAGTGGTGCCACTGTGCGCACAGCTTTGCCGGGCTCCCCACCTCCTGCAGCCTTGGCTCTACCTGTGGTGCCCGCTCCTCCAGCAGGTGCTGGAGCAGCTTTGGGGACATGAGGTTGGAAGCTGGACACTGTTCAGGAAGCTCATGCCCCATCCTCCCATCTCTGCCTCCTTCAGGGTCATTGGCCATGAGGACATGAACAGGTATCTCTACATTCAGCCCACCCCCAGGGAATCTGTTGTGGTCCTGTTTCTGGCGGGGCAGCATTGTGTGCTGGTGGCTTGACCTGAGGCTCAGGATCAGGTGGTGCCACCTGACACTGTTTCCCATACCCTGTACCTCCTGCTCCTGTAACTGGGCAGCAGCCACAACGGCATCAGCAGCCAGGGGCCCCTGGGAGGCCTGCAGCTCCTCCATACCATCCAGCCAGCTTTGCAGAGTATTCAGGAGCTCAGGGGGCACCTGCAAGAGGAATAGCCTCAGCCTGCTGCCTCCACACAGTGCCAGCCCCCAGGCTTCTGGTCTCACCTCGGTTAACTGCTTTCCTTGCTGGCCAGGCCCCACCTCTACAGCCTCTGTCACCACAGTCTCTGTCACCACTGTCTCTGTCACTTCTGTCACCTGTATGGCACGGGTACCCCACCAGGCCCAAGAGACTCCTGGTGGGTGCAGGCCTTGGAGGTCTGCAGATGGGGAGGAGTCCTCTTGGGCCTTGGACCCAGCCCTCAAGCCACTTCTCCTTTCCCCCAGGCAGCCTAGCCTCGAGGCCCAGTTTCCCATGATGGATTCCAAGAGGGGCAGGGTGACGAGGACACTGAGGGTAGCCCTGTTGGGGCAGAAGAATCCAGATCAGGGCCTGAGAGCCAAAAGCCTTCTTGTACCCTGCACCCTGGGTACAGGCTGTGCTACGACTTACCTTCCAGGGGTCTCTGCTGTGGGCCTCAGACTGGGCAGGCTGAGGTAAGCCTGGGGGGCTGGAGGAGGCCAGCACCGCTTCCAACCACCTCCAGGACTTGGGCTTCCCTTGGGCAGTTTTCAGCCAGCTCTAGCTATCAGTCCAGCCAGTCTGGCCTCAGCACTTTCCTTTCCTTCTTCCCGTTTCCTGGGAAACCTGTGCCTGGCCTCAGCCATGCTGTGGGGGAGGGGCTGGGAAAGGGGCTTCATTTGGAGCTTCTTACCCCTCCCCCCAGTTCCCTGTACAGTGTGGGGTAAAGGAGGGGTTCAGGGGGTTCACTCTCCACCCAGACTCATCTAGGCCACCATGCTGCTGTGGGGCTGAGCTCTATCCAAGGAAGGTGCTGCCTCAATGGGCCCCAAGCCTATCTAGCCTAGGGATGGTCAGAGGAAGCAAGGACACTGCTGGGGAGCTGGGGACTGGGGAGCCATGGATGAGTTTTTCTCAGCCATGCAGACCCCAGGAAACTCGGCTTCATCTGCCTCTCAAGGGTGTGGTCCTTGATTGCTCTCCACCCTTGTTCAGCTGCCCTACCCAAGGCTTCCCGACACAGAGACAGGTCAGCCACAGCTTCCCACACTGGTGTCAGAAATGAACCTGCTCCTCCTCTAGCCTGAAGCCCCTTCCTCAAAGGCCTGCCAGACAAGGAGGAGGAAACATCCCATCGGAAGGTGTGGGTACTCTTAGGTCCCTGCTCTTCTGAAGGTTTATGGGCTGCTTTGTGGGCTGTGAGCTCTAGCATAGGCCCACCTGTTGCCTTATCCTTCTACCCTCACCTCCACTGATTCTTCTCCTGAAGGGTAGACGTTGTGACAAGCCAAGAGCCCACCTCTGTTCACCACTACAAAGGCTCTGGCCTCCCAGGAGTCATCCCTGACTGGGGTGTGGACTGGCCTCTCAGGTGCTGACAGTTGTGCCCTGAGAGTCCTAGGCCCAAAGCCAGCTCCACCCTCCCCACCCATCTCTTGTCTGTGACCCCCAGGCCCACCCCTGCCCAGGCTCGTCAGTCATGAGTTGGTGTTGCTGTTGCCTTGGGAACTTTCCATCGGAAAATGTTGGGCGAGGTGGGCAGGCAGACAGGCTAGGGCAGGCTGCAGGCAAACAGTGGGTGGATGGGTGGTGGACGCCTCTCCTGGGAGGGCTTGTGTGTCTCACACCCTGTCCTACTTGCTCAGCTCCTACCCCTGCAGGTATCCGAGTATGTGGGTCTCATGGGCCTCATTGTGTCCCAGCAAAGGCCTGTCCACTCCTGACACCCAGACTATAGCCCCTCATGCATACCCAGATACTAGGATGGCTCTCTGGGGCCAGGGAGCTCCAGTGAGTGGTACCATATTGACTCTGAGCTTCTGCCTGGGAAGAAATGCCCCAGGCCCTTCTTCCCTCAAATCTGGGGTGGAGGGTTAATACCCCTGACCTTTACCCTGGGCCTGTTTGCCTCACCAACCAAGGGCAGGCCAAATCTGATTTCTGCCTTAGCCTCTAAAACGCTGTGACTGAGAAGAGTATTTCTGAGGGCCCAGAAAAGCTGTGGGACCAACTTGGGGCCTTTCCCACTTCTCCCACAGCCACTAGGCCAGTAGCTAGACCAGCCACTTGGCAGAGCCCATCCATCCTATGTAGGGACAGAAATATACACCAGAAAGACCCTTGGCTGGACAGGGACAGTGACACTCATTCAAGTTGTGCCAGCCCTTTTGTCCTAAGGTCACTGATTGCCACTCCCCCAGCTCCTACAGCTCAGCCAACCTTGAAGCTTCTCTTCTGCATAGACTCCTGAGCCACTGCAAGTTAGTGAGCCAGGACAGGAGGGAGTAGCACAGGCCCAAGCCTGTGCTCATAGCCACGTGATTCATGGATTCTCTGAGCACTCTGGTGTATGAGGTTTCTCCCTTGGGGGTGCTAAGAAGCTGAGGAAAAGGGGCTACACTGGAGAGTCCTGGGAGGACAGACTCAGGTAGAGCCCTCAGATGGGGATTTGGGGGATGTACATCCAGACAAATTTTTTCCTTTACTAGATACAAAGCTGAAATAGTAAACAAAGAATGAAAGAGTCACAGTTGCTACACATAGACAGTGCGAGTATCTTTGTGAGAGAAGAGCACAGAGAAACCTAACACTAATTCTAACATAATCTTAACACAAACACTTACTGTAGTCCAAACACTAGTGTTAGGCCTAAACCTAACAAAACCATAACCCAAACACTAACCCTAAGCATAGGCCTAGACCTAAACCTACATCTAGCCATAACACTAGCACCATTCTAGTCTAGCCCTATCCGTAAGTGTAACATAAGCCTAGAACTAGACCTAAGTGTAACTTTAACCTTAACTCAATCCTTAAACAAAATCTAATACCCAAACTAACGGGAATGAGAACCATAGTCCCTAAAATTAACCTTAACCCTAGCCCTAACACTAATGCTAACCTAGCCTAGTACTAACCCTAACACTAACCCTGATCCTAACCTGAACATTAACCCAACCCTAGACTTAGCCCCAACCCTAACTCTCCTGCAGCCAGGTGGTTGAAGCAGCTACTAGGCAGGTCCAAGGTGCTTTGGAATGGGCAGATCCTGAGCTTTGGCCATCTGCAGAAATCCAACACACACTGGGTTAAAAAGTAAAAAGCAGAGAAGCTGCTCTGGGATCCCAGCATGAGAAGCCTCAGGTCTGTAGGGCTGCACTGATGAAAAAGCCCACCAGTCTCTAACCCTGAAATTCTAAGAAAATCAAATTAACTGTCACTGCTCTGGCTATGTCATTTGAGGTTACAGATTGAATTCTGTACCCCTAAAGGCTGTGTTCAAGCCCTAATTCCAAGACCTATAAGTGTGGCCTTATTTGGAAACCAGATATCATCAAGTTAAGATGAAGTTATTAGAATGGACCCTGATGCAATAGAACTGGTGTCCTCATAAGAGAATGCCACACAAAGATGGAGACACAGCAAGAGAAGCAGTGTGACCCCAAGGCAGAGGCTGAGAGCTTCAGCTGTGAGTAGAGGTCCACTGAGGTCAGCATGATTAAGAGCAGGACTGGAAAGAGAAGGGAGGGTTTCAGCCTGGAGTGGAGGGACATGCCCCACTAACAATCTCAACTCAGCTTTCTGGGACCAGGACTGAGTGAGAACACACTTAGTGTCCCAAGTCCCCACTTGTGGTCCTTGCCTGTGTCAGCCCCAGAAGACTGGCTGCCTATGTTCTGTGAGCCAGTTACAGTGGCCTAGTCCACAGGCTCATCCCTGGGACTCCCTGATGCACCTGGCCTGCAGGTATGGGCTCAGTTTCTAGTGAGGACCAAGTGGGGCAAGCTCAAAGCTTACTCTCCAGGGACAGCCTGGGCCCCACAGCCATGCTGGCCAAGGATGAGGAGCCTGGAGTGGGAGCAAAGGACACTGTGGGTGTGCTCATTGCCCCCTAAACCTCCCTTGCAAGGCTCTCATTTTCCTAGAAGTCAGACACAACTCTGAGGGGCGTCAGAGGGGTGAATCTGATGAGGGGCGTGAGCGGACCTGAGGGGCTGGGTGTGCTGCAGCGGAAGCAACGGGGTGTTCCTGAACCTCAGGGCCCCTGCCATGTGTGCCCACCCGGCCTGTGTGGGAAGGTGCCCTAGGACAAGAGTGTCTGTAAATGCGAGTCCCCAGAGCACCCTGTCATCAATGGCTGGTGAGTATAGGACTCTGACAGCCCTGCCCAGTCTGGGACAGAGACCCTGTGGCACCCTTCCTGGCTCCCTTGCTTCCTCCCTGCCCCCTTGCCCCCTCCTCTACTGTCTTTCTGATCTCACTTTGTAATCACTTTCACTGAAATCCTTGTCTCAGGCTCTGCTGCTGGGGAGTCCAGCCTAAGGCCAGGCCAGGTCTCTCATCCACATCAAACCTCAGGTGACACCCGCTGCACAGGACAGCTCTCGGGAAGACACTTTCACCCTGGTCACACAGTCCTTGGCTAAAGCATGTCATCCAGCTCTAGAAGCCACATCAACACAGAACCAGGCACACAATAGGTGTATAATCAGTGTTGTATTAATGGATCCGATCTAGGTGTGAGAGCACCTGGGCAAAATGTCCTGTGCCAGCTTCAACCAAGGTTTTTAGCCAGGTGTGGTGGCACACATCTGTAATCCCATCATTCAGGAGGCAGAGGCAGGAGGATCACTACAAATTCAAGGCCAGCCTGGGCTTCATAGTGAGCTCAAGGCCAGCTTGACCTACTCAGTGAGACCCTCTCTCAAGGGCGGGGGGAGAAGAAGAAGGGTTCTTGAGCAATGGCCCCTAGGGAAGCAAGAATTGCCTCTGGGTTCCTTGGCCCTGCTGTGTGTCCTAGGAGCTCTTCCCTGCATGAATGACTGGGCCCACTTGCTCCTCAGGTCCCCATGTTGGGGCTTTACCTCCATTTGGATCCCAAACCAGGCCAGGACACTGACTTTGGAGGCTGGGATGGGTCAGCACAAAGCTGACCACAGCTATGGTCATCTAGAGGTAGCCCAAGGGGGTTCTAGCCACTACTCCTATTCCCCTCGCTGCTGTACCTTCTGCTCTGACCCTCTGGCCCCATCTCTCCATGCTTGTTCCTCAGCCCCTAACAATTCAGAAGGTTCCCATTATCCGCCCAGAAAACTGTCTTTGCTTTGATTTCTGCTGTTTATAATCAGGGCCCCAAACTGTACATCAGAAGCAAGCAATCAGTGTAAGTCTCTAAACTCATAGCCAAATGTGAGCAGAATCATGAGGGACCCAAGCCTATAGGGCTCCATCACACCACCGGTTGATTTCTGACAGTGAAGTCCTGCAGGGTGAAGGCTTCCAAAGGGACAGTGGCTCTGGGACCTTCCTTTATCCTTCCCAGACTGACACATTTGCTGATAGGCATTGAGCTGACCATCAGCCAAGTACCCTCATGCCATCCTCCTGGGGGACCTGCTCCATTTTCACAAGTCAGGGCAAACTTGGGTGATGTGAAGGGTGAGCTTGGGATCCCTGAATAAGCAAAGCCAGCAAAAATTCAGGTCTAGCCAATCCTGTCAGCATAATAACCACAGAAACTGAAGATTCTGAACTTGGGGTGGTCATCCACACTGAGCGGATCACTGTGGGCAGAGCTGTGGCCATGTGGACCCTCTCTCATCAGGGTTGGCTCAGACAGGTCATCTCAGCAGGGTTGTCACCATGGAGGGCTCCTCAGGCC